ATTCTCTCCTTATCTTTAATCTTGGGTAATGTAATTATGATGTGCCATGGTGTGTTTCTCCTTGGGTCCAATTTCTTTGGGACTCTCTGAGCTTCCTGGACTTTCTGGAAGTCTATTTTCTTTGCCAGATTGGGAAAGTTTTTCTTCATTATTTTTTCAAATAAGTTTCAATTTCTTCCTCTCCCCCTTCTCCTTCCAGCACCCTCATGACTCGAATGTTGGAATGCTTAAAGTTTTCCCAGCAGTTCTTAAGCCTCTCCTCATTTTTATGCATTTTTGCTTCTTCATTCTGTTCCAGTTACATGCTTAATTCTTCCTTGTGTTCCAAATCATTGGTTTGAGTCCTGGTTTCCTTCCTTTCACTGTTGGTTCCCTGTGTATTTTCCTTTATTTCACTTCATATAGCCTTCATTTCTTCCTTTATTTTGTGACTGTACTCAGCCATTTCTGTGAGCATCCTTATTTCCAGTGTTTTGAACTCTGCATCTGATATGTGGTCTATCTCTTCATTGCTTATGTTGTATTTTTTCTGAAGTTTTGATCTGTTTTTTCATTTGAGCCATATTTCTTTGTCTCAGCATACCTGTTATGTGGTAAGAGGTAAAGGCTTAGGTTTTCACCAGGGCCAGGCAACCTTTTTTCCTGCTTTGTGGTGTTGTCTGTGGGGGAGGGATCAGAGAGGGAACAATGCTGCTTGCTTGGCTCTTGCCACACTTTCCATCACTTCCCTTGTTTCCGCAAGCAGATTGTGCCCTTTCAGGTGCTGATGATCCAGTGAGTGGGCTTGTCTATGTTTTAGGACTATGTGGAACTCTCCAACACTCTCCTGTGAGGCTGGGAGTTTCTCCCAAAGCCAAAACCCCCACAGATTTTTTACAGCCAAGGGTTTTGAGTCTTTAGTTTCCCACACTGAAACCCTGGGTTTCATGGTCTGTCTTGTTCCCCCATTGTTCCTCTGGCTTATCTGCTTGTGAATGTGGAATCACCTGCATGGTTCACTGCCTTGTCTTTCCATGTGTCTTCTCTGCCCCTGCTGTCTATCTCAGTCCCCCCTACCAGTCTGGATGAATGTTTCTTTAACTCCTTGGTTGTTGGAATTCCATGCAAATGATTTTCTGGAAGTTCTGGTTGTTCTTTTTTAAATTTAATTTAATTTAACTTAAATTAACTTAAATTAAATTAAATTTTAATTGTTCAAGTACAGTTTTCTGCCTTTTACTTCCATCCCAGCTCAACCTGCCAGTCCTCCCCACCTCCCTCCCATTTGCACACCCCCTTAGTTTTTGTCCATGTGTCCTTTATACTTGTTCCTGTAAACCCTTCCCCTTTACCCCTGAAATTCCCTCCTTTCTCACCTCTGGTCACTGTCAGCCTGTTCTCTATTTCAGTGTCTTTGGTTATATTTTGCTTGTTTGTTTTGTTCTTTAGGTTCCTGTTAAAGGTGAGATCATGTGGTATTTGTCTTTCACTGCCTGGCATATTTAGCTTAGCATAATGTTTTCCAGTTCTATCCATGCTGTTGAAAAGGATAGGAGCTCCTTCTTTCTTTCTGCTGCATAGAATTCCATTGTGTAAATGTACCATAGTTTTTCGATCCATTCACTTACTGATGGGCACCTAGGTTGCTTCCAACACTTGGCTATTGTAAATTGGGGTGCTATGAACATTGGGGTACATAGGTTCTTTTGGATTGGTGTTTCAGGGTTCTTAGGATATAATCCTAGTAGTGGAATTGCTGGGTCAAAAGGCAGATCCATTTTTAGTTTTCTGAGAAAATTCCATACTGTTTTCCATAGTGGTTGTGCCAGTCTGCAATCCCACCAACAGTGCACTAGTGTCCCCTTTTCTCCACAATCTCTCCAACACTTGTTTGTTGCTTTGTTTCTGATGGCCATTCTGAATGGTGTGAAGCAGTATCTCATTGTGGGTTTAATTTGCATCTTTGATAGCTAGTGATACTGAGCATCTTTTCATGTGTCTCTGGATCCTCTGTATGCCCTCCTTGGAGAAGTGTCTGTTCAAGTCCTTTGTCTATTTGTTAATTGGGTTGTTTGTCTTCTTAGAGTCGAGTGGTGTGAATGCCTTATATATTTTGGAGATTAAACCCTTGTCTGAGGTATCATTGGGAAATATGTTTTCCCATACAGTGGGTTCTCTTTTTATTTTAATACTGTTTTCTTTAGCCATGAAGAAGCTTTTTATATTGATGAAATACCATTTCTTTATTCTTTCCTTTATGTCCCTTGTTCTAGGGGACATATCAGTGAAAATATCGCTGTGTGAAATATCTGAGATTTTCCTGCCTATGTTCTCCTGTAGGATTTTAATTGTATCATGGCTTGTATTTAAATCTTTTGTTTTTAAATTGGTTGTTATCCTTCTTTTGGTTGTGCAAGAAGTGAAGCTTTTCTGCCTATGCTTCCATCTTGGCTGGAACCGCCTATTGTTTCTAACCATTTTTTGGTGGAATTGTTAGGGTTTTCTTATGAAGAATTATGTTGCCTGAAAATGTGACAATTTTCTTTTTTCATTTTCAGTCTTGATGTCTTTTCTTTCTTTCTTTTTGCCTGATCACTCTGGCTAGGACTTCCAGTACTATGTTGAATGACATTGGTTAGAGTGGGCATTCTTGCCTTGTTCCTGATCTTAGAGGAAAAGCTTTCAGTTTTTTAGCATTGAGTATAATATTAGGTGAGGGCTTTTCATATATGGCCTTTATTCTATACCAATTTTATTGGGTGTTTTAATCATAAATATTGTAGCTTGTCAGATGCTTTTTCCATATCTATTGATATCATCATGTGACTTTTATCCTTCACTTTGTTAATGTTGTGTATCACATTGATCAATTTGCTTATGTTGGACCATCCTGGAATGAACCCCAATTGATTGTGATATATTATTCTTTTAATGTATTGTTGTATTTGATTTGCTAGTATTTTGTTTAGGATTTTTGCATCTGTATTCATCAGAGATTCGGGCCTGTGGTTTTCTTTCTTTTTTTCTGTTATCTTTGAGAGACTTTTGTATCAGATGCTAGTTTCATAAAATGTATTAGGAAGTACTGCCTCTTCAGGTTTTTTTGGAAGAATGAGAAAGATGGGTATTAAATCTTCTTTGAATGCTTGGTAAAATTTACTAGTGAAGCCATCTGCTCCTAGGCTTTTTCTTTTTGGGAGGTTTTTGATGATTGTTTCAATTTCCTTGTAGTTGATTTGTCTATTTACATTTTCCATTTCTTTATGATTCAGTCTAGGAAGGTTATGTATTTCTAAAGGCATGTCCATTCTTTCGAGGTTATTGAATTTGGTGGCACATAGTATTCTGTAGTATTCTTATATGATCCTTTGTATTTCTGTTGTGTCTGTTGTAATTCCATTTTATTTATTTATTTATTTATTTATTTATTTACTTATTTATTTATTTATAGTAAGGGAAGGAGAAAGAGAGAGACAGGAATATCAATGACTGAGAGAGAAACATTCATCAATTGCCTTCTGTGTGAACCCCAACTAGGGCCAAACTCACAACCTAGGCGTGTGCCTTGAATCAAACTGGGAATTGAGCTGGTGACTTTTTGCTTTTTGGATCATTGCCCAACAACTGAACCACACCAGTCAGGGCTCTTTCATTTCTGAGCTTGTTTATGTGAGTCTTTTCTCTTTTTTCTTTATTGTCTATCCAGAGGTTTGTCAATTTTATTTATCTTTTCAAATAAGCAGCCATCTTAACCATTTTTAAATTTACAATTTATTTCTGTTAAGTATATTTACATTGTTGTGTAACCAATCTCCAGAATTCTTTCTCTCTAGCAAAACCAAAACTATACCCATTAAACAACAACTCTCACTTCCCTGTTCCTGAATCCCTGGAAACAACCCTTATGCTTTCTGTCTCTAAGAATTTGATGACTTTAGGCACTTCATATGAGTGGAATCATGCAGTGTTTGTCTTTTAGTGATTGGCAGCATCTGTTGGTCCTTATTTTTTTTTAAACAATAGAATTACATCTGTGGCCCAGATTACATAGCTTTTTCTACGGCGTTGAGCACTCATGGCTTTTCATCTATTCTTTCTTTTCATTCTCCACTTTCCTCATCCCCAAATGTTTATCTTATGCAGAGCTGATCTCTAGGGTAGAGCAGGGTTTCTACTTAATTTATTATTCTCTTAGGGCCTTGAATATTCTTTTTTTTCTTTTTCACTAGAATTCTGGCTCAGCCAAGTTCATTTGAATGCCTACACAAAAGGTTTTTGTTTTCAGATTGTTATGAGCAGGGGACAGACAATTGAAATGCCTATAACACAGGTGGCAAACACAAGGCACACAGGCCAAATCTGGCCCTCCACCTTGTTTTATCCAACCCAGCACCTTGTTTCTACCCAGCGGCAGTGTCGAGCTTTTGCCGAACTATTAGGGAGTAGTTACATTTATACAGCCCTAAAATTACATTTGGCCCTTTGAAGGCAACCACTAGGCTGATGTGGCCCCTAGTGAAAATGAGTTTAGCACTCCTGACCTATAAGGATCAAATAGATAAGTTCTGTGTGGAGCCCTCAGGAGCGTATCATAGATCAAAGTGTTAGAGCATGTGCTGTTCAGCCAAAAACAAAACCAAACAACAAAAATCAGAACTGCCTAAAAGATTCACATTTTACACATTCTGCTTCATTTTTGAGCCATCATAAGCCTGGGGAATAAGAACATGCTACCTATTTAATGGTTAAGGAAATGGAGGTTTTGAAGGGCCACATATCCAATCTAAACAAGAGATAGTGGAAGGTTCATCGGAGACCTGGGTGACTTTAAGGTCCCATCTAAGAAAGGAAGACCTTAAAGACATTCCTTCTGGTGCATTATTCACAATCAGATCAGCCATTCATAGGTCTGTCTACAGATCTGCTGTCCTCTCCAGGCCACAATCTGTACTCAGAGATTCCAAGAAGTTGCCTCCTGGGGACGTCTTATCTCATCTTACCATTTTCCCCTGTAGCACCAGCACTGGCTGGGAGCAACAAAAGAGCATCTGTTTGATCCAGAAGCCAGTGACTTTTGACCCTCTTCCTGGGCTGCCTACCCAGAGTGTGTGCACAGGTATGGGCCAGGCAGTGGGTTAGGTTATGGACCAGGTTTGGGGTAAAGGAAATCTTACACATGATGCTTGCTTTAAATCTTTTCTACCACTTCAATTTGCTTCCCCAGTGATGTTTATAATTGTTTTGTTTTTAAAAATTATTTTCAAAACTAATTTTGGTCAGGAAGAGCACTTGCAGTCCACCATTGGCTGGGGTTTGGTATATGGACTTAAAATGTGCTAGTGTTGGCGAAGATTCCCAGCACTTAGGTCAAGCACAAGGACTACCTGCTGTGGAGCAGTGTGGTTAGAAAAACACATCATCCATTTTAGTTACAACTCTTCTTGCAAGCCAGAATGTGATCTCCCAGTATTTACCAGAAAACATATACAGGGTCAGCATCATTCCCCTCTATCATAATCTTCTGGACCAGTCCCTAAAGGGCTGTATAAAAAGAGATTCCAGAACTAGAAAGATGCTTATAGTTAATGAGCATCAAACCTGAGCATTGTATCTGGAATGCTACCAGCACCTCTTTACCATGAAATCTCTGCCAGGTTTCACCATGGTTCCTGGAGAAAGGAGAGTGGGGAAAGCAATGGGTGGTGGGTCACCATTTGGTAATTTTTCCATGAGTTCCTATAAGGCATTAGAGTGCCTGCTACAGGGCTCCAGCTTGCCTAGAAAACCCTCGTGGCTCTGCTTTGGGTTCCCTCTAAGACCCAAGTTGGGGGAAGCCCTACAGGGCACCTGCACTGGGCTGTGGGACCGTATCACCCCTTGATTAGAGGCCTAGAAGGGAAAGGCTTTGGTGTCCCATCTCTGCTCTAATTATAGTTTTAGTTTTTACTCACATCAAGTACATCTCTGCTCAAATTCTGTCTTGTCCCAAGACCAATACAGAAAAAAAGAGTGCTATAATAAGTCATACAGAAAACAATAATGTGACCCCTGCTACCTTTGCCTCTGCTCCTGCTGAGCCAACACTGACTGAGAGTGAGCTTATCAGAACTGTGTTCAGTTATCCATTCTCAGTATTGTGTGTATGCACATGAGTGCCTGCCTGAGCACATGTTCACCCCTGTTGTGTTAGAGCTCAGGTAATTTGAAGGGAAATCACAATGTGAGGCTGTGTTTTGATTTCTAGGGTCACAAAATAAGAGAATGAGTTTCACAGCTGAAATGGATCAAGAAATCATGCATGTGACACTGAACTGAGATCCATGTCATGGTTTTGGTAAGAGGGATTGTGGTAGATGAGAACCACTCTCTCCCTTCGGGTAGACAGCAGTGTGTGCCAGCTTCCTTTTTGATTTTTCTACTCCCCTTTCTACCTCTCCCAATTTTTCTTTTTTGGGTAAAAGTTTTCCTTTTAGATCTGATGAGGTTTTGGGGTACATATTGTGAGAATCTGAGTACATGATAGAAAAGGACTCCCCCAGTATCATGTAACATACTTTTCTGGTATATTTAGATTCTCAGTTATGAAAAAAATAGTCCTCATTTTTAACCTCTTATTATTTGCCACATTTGAAGACTCTTAAAACCATGTAAGAAAAAAAGACACTGAGTAGACAATCATCTCTTTCCTATTTCTAGTTATATGTTGGAGCAAATTCAGTGCACATTGATGGGCCATGTTCCTAGCTTCAGCTGTGCTTACTAATATGGGACAAAGCACTCTTCTCCATGAGTTTTGGCATAGTGGAAAGAGCCTGTTTAAAGGTCAGAAGACCTATGTACAAATATCAGTGATGCCACCTGGTAGTTGTGTGATTTTAAGCAAATAACCTAAACTGTCTGACTTACAAAATCATTAAGTATCATCTTTTTAAATATTATTGGATTACAGGTTTTGTCATTAAGGAGGGAGAAGATGTAGGCAAAGTTGACCCTGGCATCTTTATATCCTCAATTATACCTGGAGGACCAGCTGAAAAGGCTAAAAAGATCAAATCAGGTATTTTAAATCGCCTGAGATACAGCTTTAATTTCCTTGATGGTATTACTGAGACAATTTATTTTTCCAGAAGGGCAGATACTAGCCTTGAATCACATCACTCTGGAGGGCTTCACATTTGACATGGCTGTTAGAATGATTCAGAATGATTCTCCTTACTACATAGAATTAATCATTTCTCAGTCAAAAGGTGTGTCTTTACCTGCTTTCAGAAGCTAATGAGCCTTCTTAATTTTCAGGGTGCACTTACACCACAGGGTTCTGGATCTTTTAGTCCATGAATTCTTTTGCATCACCATCCTCATGGTAGTGACTTGCAAAGAAGCTGCAGAGTAAATAAGCTCTATAATTGCAGGGTAGAATGGGCTCTACAGTTGCTTGTCCTGCCAAACAGGAGAAGCTGGCTCTAGTTCTTCATTAGACATGGTTGGTACAGCCATTGCATATTTTTATGCCCACTTTTCTTATATAACAAGGAGGACATTCTTTATATCATCCAAGTCCTTATTGAAAGTGGCTGACAGAAGGAAGCTGTCAGAAGAGTGAATGGAAGTCACACTGACTTCCTTCTAGGACCAATCTGCAACTACAGCTCAATTATGGAGAAACCACCCAGAACAAACAACTGAGCAATAGCCAAAGAGAAACATATAACTTTGAACATAGAGAACCAGCTTCAACACAACTGGTCTGGTATGCAATGAGATGGAAACTTGAGAGGGCTGGCTGAACACCCACAGGCAGCAGCATCAGTGGGATAATTAAGTGGCAGTTGGATGCCCCAGAGAAGATTGGGGTCTAAACCTAAAGCTAGGATTCCCAGACTAGAACACCAGAGCCCAAAAAGTACACAGATAAAAACCAGCGGTGAAAAGAGGCAAGGTTGCTCTCTATCAGAGTCAGATGGATAGAGATGCAAGGGCCATGTAAAGAGCCAACAAACAAATTTTTATTTGCAGCCATTTACCTTGGGCTCTGGCAAAGGTGGGACCAGAATTGGCTGGAGATGCCTGGGGAGAGATGGGAGACAGAGGCCTTGGGGAGAAAACTGAGAGAGTAGCCACCTGGATCTCAGTGCTGAGTCATCCCCCAGACCACAACAGTCTTTGTGCTTAGGCAGACCACACCCCTTCCACAGCTGTAGCCTGAGGGGAAACAATAACCCCAATGCCAGGAGTGTTACTGCCCTGGCCCTTTGGTACTTAAGCCTGACTGATGAGTCCTAGTGACCAGAAAAGCAACCAAAGGAGATAGTCAGAGACAGTAGATAACTGTCAAAGGAGGGGCAGATTAGACTGGAGAGACTTGAGGAGAGACTGGGGATGGAGGCTTTGGGGAGAGAACTGACAAAGTAGCTGCTGGGATCCAGTGCTGAGCCAACCCCCCTATGCAGCAGCCATTCTGCTCAGGAAGACTACTCCCTTCTGAGCAGCAGCAGCCTGAGGGGAAATAATAGCCCCCACCCAAGAGGGATTCAGCCCCACCTACAGTGCCTAAACCTGAGTGCTGAGTGCGGAGTGAACAGATTAACAATTGAAGGAGACAGCCAGTGACAGCAGATCACTGGGAGTACGGAACAGGCTGCCTAAGGTCTGACAGGGTCAACGTCTGACATTCCCAGAGGCAGATCCGGAAAGAAAAAAAAACAGTGGTAAATACAAGAGGCTACTGAGATGAAATCCTTCTTCATGATTTGCCATATTTTCTTTCCTGCACAGCTTTAAAACATTCATTTCTTGTCCAGCAAATTTGTACATAATATCACTAGATTTTATACTACAGTGTATTTCAACTCACATATTTTGCCCCTCTTTTCACTTAGCACATTTTACCTTCCTCTTTATTTGCAATATTTTCATTTCAAATTTGGTTTTCTCTCTAGCTACAACTCGTTTCCATTTCACATTCTTACTATTTCTACCCCATCCAGACACTCAAAACATATTTTCTTGTGAAGGGTCATTTCACATCCTTTTACCCAGCTATGAAAATACCCATGTTCTCTCTACACCTTTAGCACACTTTGCTAGTTGGGTGTGGGTAGGGTAGTTGTTGCATTATTTTTATTCAAAGTTATCTCTATAGCTTCACTAATTCTGTATTTCAAATAAATTTTATTGGATCCTTCTCCTACTTTTCTTTTCGTCTCAAATTTTAATTTTACCATCTCAGCCTGTTTTTTTCTCCTTTTTCTTTGTCTTTTTTGCATTTTTCTTTCATCCTGCCATTTTATTCTTTTTTATTCTCCTTTTTTCTTTTGCTTTACATCCCAAATTTTAATTTTCCTCACTTACTCTGGTTTTTGTCACTTACTCTTAGTATTACCTCTCCCTCTATCATTACAAAATCACATCTCATTCCTCTAAACATCTCTTAGACTTTTCTTTGTTTCTTTTTTTCCTCTTATTCCCATACCAGTTATATTAATTTTTGTTCATTTGTGTTTCATAGTACTCTAGTGGATCTTTCTCTATAATTTGGCTCCTATATTTTTATTAATTAGTTGAAAATTTTCTTCTTTTTCCTCTCTCTCACTTTACTTTATTTTATACTATTTTAATTTATGTTTAAACGTAGCATTATATGCTTCCTTTCTCATACTCATTCCACACTCTTCATTCCTTTTCCTTATTCATGAGGTAAACTTTACCTGTTCTCCTTCTGTTGCTCTAACTCCCAACTCTTATTAGTGCTCCTCCCTCTACCCTTTCAAAAATCATGTTGCTTTCAGTAGGTCATCTCTTATCCACTGTCCTTTCTTATAATACTCTTAATCTTGTACCCCCTTGTTAATACTGGTTCATCTGCTATTGATAATGGGTTTGTGGGGGGAGTTATGTTTGCAAGTGTAGGTTTGTTGCCTGGGCTCTGTGATTTTGTTCAGGCAGCACCTGCACAACAGCACACAGGATGTGGTGGGTGAAGTGTCCCCAGTCAACCAGCGTTGGGGAAGGACCCACAAAAGAATGGCCCAGCAACAATAAAAACCCAATTACATCCAGAAAACTAGCATAAAAGTCATAAAGGACATCCCAAGAATATAAAATTAAGGTGATCAAGGAGACACACCACTGAATATCACAGGTCTCCCACCATAGAAGTTCATACCAGGAAGTCAGAATGTCAAAACAAATCAATTTAAGAAACAGAAGCAAACAAGAAGAGTCCCACAAATGGTGGGAAGACAAAGAAACAATCCTTAATCAAAAGGAAAGGAGGAATCCTCAGAAAGAATGCTAAATGAAATAGAGGCAAGATAACTATCAGATGTTGAATTCAAAACAATGATTATAAAGAAGCTCAACAAACTCAGTGAGAATTACCATAAACTACAGGGATATCCTGAGGAAATTACTGCAAACTATATTAGCATAAAAAGAGATAGAAATGGTCAAAAAGGGCCAAGAAGAAATGAAGAATACAATTTCTAAGTTAAAGAACACAGTAGAAAGAGTCAAAAGCAGACTTGATGAAACAGAAGATCAAATCAGTAAGCTGGAGGACAAAATAGAAAAAAACATCCTAAAAAGAGAAAGAAAAAGAAAAAAAGACCAAAAAAAAAAAACCAATCAAGAGGGGTTAAAGGAAATGCAGGACAGCATAAAACACAATAATATCCATTTAATAGGGATACCAGAAGGAGAAGAAAAGAAGCAAGGGCTAGAACACCTGTTTGAAAAAGTAATGATGGAAAATTCCCTAATTTGGGGAGAGAGCCACACAAATTCAGGAAGCCCTGAGAGTCCCAATCAAGAGGAATCCAAAGAGACCCACTTCAAGACACATCTGAATTAAAATGGCAAAATTCTAATACAAAGAGAGAATCTTAAAGGCAGCAAGGGAGAAATAGGAAGTAACATACAAGAGAGCCACAATAAAGCTAGCAGCTGACTTCTCAACAGAAATATTACAAGCCAGAAGGGATTGTTAAGAAATATTCCAAGTAATGAAAAGTAAAGGCCCACAACCAAGAATACTCTATGCAATACTCTATACTCTCTTCAATTAAAATGGAAGGTGAAATAAGGAGCTTCCTGGACAAAAGAAGGCGAAAAGAATACACCCCCACCAAACAAGCATTGCAAGATATGCTAAAGGGACTGCTTTAAGAAGAGGAAGAAAAACAGTGAGAGAGAAAGGAACAAGGGTACAAAGGGAATAAAACAGTAATGAGTAAGTTCCTCTCAATAATAACCTGAAATGCAAATGGATTAAATGCTCCAGTCAAAAGATGGATAAGAAAATATGACCCACACATATGCTGCCCACAAGACCCACCTCAGAGCAAAAGCTTCACACAGACTGAAAGTGAAGGGCTGGAAACAAATATTCCAAGAAAATGGGAAGGAAAAACTGCTGGGGATGCAATACTTATATCGGACAAAATAGACTTCAAAAAAAAAAAAAAGGGGGGGCTATAAAAAGAACCCAGAAAGATACTTCATAACACTCAAGGGACGAATCCAAGAAGAAGGTATAAACATTATAAACATATGTGCACGGAACATAGAAGCAGCAAATACATAAGAAAAATCTTGGAGGACTTCAAAAAGACATAGACAGAAACACAATTATAGTAGGAGATTCTGACACACCACTGTCAACAATGGATAGATATTCCAAATAAAATATCAACAAAGATATTGCAGCATTCAACAATGTCCTGGATCAAATGGACTTAACTGATACACGTAGAGCCTTTCATCCCAAAGAAGCAACATACACATTCTTTTCAAATGCACATGGAACAGTTACAAAGATAAACCACATCAAAAGGACAAAAAACAAGCCTCAACAAATTCAAGAAAATTGAAATCATATCAAGCATCTTCTCTGACCACAAGGGCCTGAAACTAGAAATCAAACTCAAGGAAAAACTCAAAAACACCCAAACTCATGGATATTGAATAGCATGACATTAAACAATAAATGGGTTAAGAATTAGATCAAGAAATAAATAAAACATTTCTGGAAACAAATGAAAATGAACTGACAACAGTATAAAACCTATGGGACACAGTGAAGGCAGTCCTGAGTGGGAAGTTCATAGCGACAGGCCTGCCTAAAAAGTACAGAAAATTTTCAAATAAACAACCTAAACCTACATCTACAAGAACTGGAAGAACAAAAACAAAGACAGTCCAGAGGAAGTAGAAGGAAGGAAATAACTAAGATCAGAGCAGAATTAAA